TAAATTCATGGGACAAAGAAGTAGCCTTTGCTTCAACAGCACCGATGATAAAAATTCGAGCTCCGTACGTTTATGTAATAGTTAGCAGAAACAAAACGTGACGTAATAGTTTTTGTAAATTAGTTTACGCAGCCCGCAAAGGTGGAGGGAGATTCTTTTTACAGCCAACAGTTTCTTTGGAAATCTCATAGCCGTTTATACCTCCATCTTACTTAACATTTTTTAAAAAGTCATTGGCTTTTACTACAATTACTCGTTTACACAACTTGCAAGTCCCTTCCAGTTAGTTCAAATTAGAGCGAAATTTAATGGGGGTATGTGAAAGAAAATATTAGAAAAGGTTTTGTTAATTATGGGCTCGTTTATCTTTCGATTGGCATTATTTTCGCATTGAACTTCGATAAACACCCGGGATTGGTATTTGGTGCGCGCTTTAACTACTAGTTTTCCTTGTATTTTAATATATTCGAGCGATGATTGAACATATTTTAAGGATCATATTATGGCCATAATGCGATTTGATTTCCACATCTACAAAATGTTTTAATTTGTCTTTTTAGCAGATAACGAAAGGGCGCACAAACACAAACGCATTATTCTAAATTATTCCAAATAAATTTATTCTGTCATATGATATCAGTGATATTAATCGAATTTATTCTACCATGTGATATCGCTCCGATATCGTACTTTTGCTTAAGCAGCATATATATAGGAATCCCTCGAAGGCGAACGTAGACTACTCAAAGGAAAAAAGGAATCCTTTGTTTAATTTTATAACGTCGTTGGAAAAACACGACAAGGTCTTCGTTTACTCGTTTAATGTACTTTTCCATTGGCTCAACATTCCTCTTCATATATACAAAGTCTTGTCGGCACATTTTTTTATCTGCCTATGTTACTCGCAAGCGGGGGTAATTCTCAGTGGACAAACTATTGACCAGATCGAAAAATGTCGGCTTGAATGTTTTCTTTCCTATATGCAAAGTGAATGATGTTTAGCTCTCCACGAGATCACTATGGACTAGAGAAGTAATGGTGTGGTTGAGAATATAATTTGTGTCAATGTTTACGGAAATTCTATGCAGAGAAAACTGTTTGACAGGCAACACAAATATCTTTGAACTTCTGTTATTATTCGACTTAAATTCATGGGAAACTAGGAGTGTCAAGTAGTTCCAGGAAAATTGTTTGCTGTAGAATAACTGGCCATAGGTTTGGTGCTTGCACAAATTCAATACGAAGATAGAGAATAACAGTTAGCTGTTGGTTGAGCTATGAAATCTTATCCATAAGCAGCTTTCGTTTATCTCAAACTCTTTCATTTTAACTAAAGTAAATGTTGCTTCTTCAATAGCATTATTATCAAATATATTTTATTAGCACTATTGCGCAAGATTGAATCTTGCTTATGTTCTTCAACAGGTTTATTTGTTTTTGCTATTCCCTAAATCACACACATACACGCATTACACACAAGTAGGCAATTGAAAACGTTATATATGAACCATTCTGTCCATGCTTTTACTTATTCTACATGGCGATCCTGTCAATTTATTTGGCTTTAAAGAAGATAGATATTCTATAACTGTAATATCAAAATTATCTGAAAAATACTTTTTATACCCTATCCTTTTTTATCTTTTTGAACGAATATCGTTGATCAATTTGTGAGTCCTGACTGCTCGTGTGCGGCCCTTCGGGGAGTACTCGTGGTGGTTGTGGTTGGCAGTTCCTAGCCAAAGTGGAACAGTCGAGTGCAGCTAGGTCTCACCACTGACCAGACTGGGGTTTATTGTTCCATACGCAATAAACCGTTGTGGACTCTGGTGCTGTTTAGGCCCCTACTCTGTGAGGATTGTCTAACTCGCCAGGGGCCTTGTACGCTTAAAGTGGCTTGGACCACCGTGGGGTTAAGCCTTTCAGGCAGGAACCCACGTTAAACCCTTGCTACAAATTCTATCCTACCTGTGATATAAGGACATGTCAAGTTTTTGTGGATGTATGCAACACCCAGAAGATCTTGAGATAGGCCCATCATTTATTTTACCGATTGTTTCACAAAATTATCTAAACTTGTCTAACTGTCTGTCTGTCTGTCCATCTGTTTGTTTTGATTTTTTTGTGTGTGTCGAAACTACAAGTCTGAAAGCGATTAAAAATGATTCGGATCGGATCACTTACCATAACTAAGAACTTATTTTGAAAAGTCATTATATGAATAAATGTATTAAACAAAATGGTGTAGGGTGTTTAATGCTGACCCTTGTCTATTAATTTACTTATGGGTAATAAAAATTATAAAAGGATAATTTTAAATATTTAATAAAATATTTTAAATATCAAGAATGAAATGACACAATTATCTTAGTTTTTCCCCGCTAAAGGGCCAATGTTGGCGGCGATGACAATGACATATTAGCGAAAAAGAAAAAAACAAACCCACAAAAATTCAAAACAAAAATGTTGTTGTTTAGCATACGGTTGACAAATTGCTGGGAAGAAATTACAACAGAAAGTCAAATAGTACGTAAATACATATAACTGTGTATGCGATTACTTAGTATATAATATAAAATGTTTATATATTTAGTGAATATTTATAAGTTGTTTGCTAAGTGATGGAGCAAAGTGAGTTTTTCTGGCTTTTTTTTTTTTTTTTTTTTAAGATGAATTCATAAATTAAAAAAGAATAGCTTTCAATGAAATGCAATACAATAATCATACGGGGAGGTACATAAAATATCCCTATGTAATAAGAGGGCTTAGAAAGTGATTTGAATAACAGTATAATGTTGAAAAAGGCTTTTTGCGAAATCAAAAAGAAATTTCATGTCTTTCATGCATGTTCTTGATGGAACTGCGGTTATTCGGTTTTATATCAATCAACTGAGGGCTGAGGGGTATGCCCACTTTGTTGTTATAGAGTTTACAGTGCCCAGAAGGTAGCCTCAGCGATCACATAAAGTATATCCGATTTGATAAGCATCAAATTCTGAATAGATTTGAGTATGTCCGTCTGTCCAGCATTGCGTTTGTGTAATGTTCGTTAAAAACTTTCTCTTCGTCACAAAAATTACGCTATCAGCGGAAATCAAATTTGGCAGAAATATCGGAAGTTCGCGAGTGCTCGAACTTAAATTGGACAAATTGCAAAATTTTTTTAAAAAATATGTTTAATAATATGCGCCTTTGAAATTAACAAATTCTTTAACTGAATGCCATGAAAAAAAGTTCACGTCATATGCTGTCCGCCTAATAAGGCAAAGAAACTTAAGAAACTTAGGTGAGAACAGAACGTAGGAATCGAAAATTTCTATTATGTATCTCAGTTCCTGAGAATGATGTTTAGGACGATTCAGAAAAATGTGAATTTTTCAATAAAATAACCAGGCAGATGGAATCGTCGAAAGTCAAACACGATAAAAAGAACCCTAAATGAAAAGTTCTGAGTAAGAAAATTTCGAATAAAACGCATCTATTAATAGACTCTTGTTGAACTCACACTTAAGAGGAGGATCAAATAGAGATGCCCTTGATTAAACCCGTTGCCCTGGATAGTGATATTCATAAACTGTAGACAGGTGTAGAAGGTGCGATAACACCATTTTTGTCAATCATGCATGAAGAATTTGTATACATTGCGGAACCACTGGCGGATACTGTCATTCGTAGCAAATATTAAGAAAACATTGTACAAACATGTGGCTGGCATACCGGCATATCGAATCGACAAGTTTCCATTACTGCTAAGATCTGCAGAAACTGTGTACACATCCAAAAATTTCGTAGCATGTACGTAAAAATTCTGTAACATGCGTATCTAAGATTTATTAGACGGCAGCCATGATATTAAATGACAGGCATCAGCACAACTTTCGCTAATTTTAACACTCATTCGATATGGCAATGAAAAAGCTTGCAAGTCGTTCCATCTACACTGAGGGCAAAGACGTCAAAAATGATTCAAAATCATGGACTAAATATCCGCCATTCATGCTTTAGTGTAGGTGGTGGACTTATCCTTAACTGCTCTGGACCGATAGGGAGAGGTTACAAGAGAGGTTATCCCTACTGATTTTAAATTGCCCTCAAAGCTAATGAACTTTTGGCAGTGCGCTTTCCCTACCCTCTTAGAGGAAAGCAACGATTGTTTCGAAAATCGGTTTTGGTCTAAGAAGATTTCTAATTCATTTAAAGCATTTGCAAAGTTGATAGCTAAATCCATATTCTCTCTGAGTTGTACGCAACTAATCATGCTCAAGACCTTGACATGCTTCTTTGGAATTAACAATCGCGGATAATACGTGAAAAACATATATTCTTAATAATAAATTATTTAAATGACCATAAATTCTACATTATTGTATTTCTTAATTTCCCTCCTATGAAAATTTCTCTCAAATGAATTTATAATTTATGTGATTGTTTAGCTCAGCGATGCTCAAACGTACAGTGCTTTTGGCCAAATAATTTTTCATATATTCTTTTCACTAAATATTCCCCTTAACTGTGCTATAAAAAAGTTTGAGTATGGCTGACTTAAGCTAAACAGTAAGTATTTTAGAATTTTGGATTTTACTAAATTTATTTATTTTTTATTTTTTTTTTGCTTTTATTTTTATTGTTGTTGCTGTTGTTGTTGTTGTTGTTGTTGTTGAATCTCTAAGTTAAACGATCTGCAAGTCTGACCGACCATGTTAATGTGAGAGAGTCTTTTCTGTGTGTGTGTGTGTGTGTGTGTGTGAATTAATGGCTGTTATGATATGTTAAATGGCCATTTAAATTAATTATAAGCTTTTATTGGAAAAGACAGAGGATTAATATGTAAAATTTATTAAAATAAATTATAAGTAGAAAGTAACTTTTAATAAAAAAAAAAAAATGTATGTATGTATGTATATATATATATATATATAAATTATTATCATTGACAGGTTATGAGATATTAAATAAAAGTCATTTATATTTTTTATTTATTTTTTTTTCAATTTACTTACCAAGTAATCTTGTTGACATGATTTCCCGCTAATAGTATCTGTTATATTATCCATGGTACGTATAGGTGATGATTCCTGATGATAAAAAATAATGTTAAAAATCCGATTTATATAGTTCTCAGTACTCAGAGATATACAACAGTAATCTAAAGTGCAGTAATTTTGATGGACTGTAAGCTAAGGATACCACTTGCAAGGATAATAATTATTATATAGTTAAGAAATACTTTTTTTTAATTTTTCATAACGAACCAGACATCTTCAAAACATAGCCATCTTGACTGCATCAATTGTATTCTTCGATATCAAAAGGTTTGATCATACAATTTGGGTTTATATTGCATTAATGCTGGCTCAAGAATTCGATGCCTTACATACTTTAAAAATCAGTTAGCCTAGGCCGATTTTTAAGATTTGGCATTGTTATCGTGGGAAATATTTCGGATATATCTGATATTGTTATACTCTACAGCACCTATCGTACGAGGGTATAGAAGATATGTGCGGATGTACGCAACATCCAGAAGGACTTCAGATAGACCGAATTTTTCAGAATTACTTTCTGATTTCATTTAAGCATACTTGTCCGTCCGACAGTCTTATTTTCTTCAATGTGTTCAATGTAGACGCCGCAAATTTGTGATATATATTTTGAGCAAACTTAGTGACTAACGTGCGCTTTAGGATCATCACTGTTGAAAATCGTTGGGATTGGACAACTTTTTCAACCACTTCCCACATATCGACGTATTTTGAAAACTTGTCGTATGAATAACTGCAGGATGGGCCGTAGTCCTCTATCGTGTTCCTAACTGTTTTCTATTATTTCTGTTTTAGCATTACTTGAGCTGCCCTATCTATTTTGTGCAATTCACTAATCCGTTCCGTCCTTTTCCGTCCGATACTAATTCTGCATTATACTTTGATACGTAGATAATTTGAAGACTTTTTGCCAAGAAAACAGAGAGGGAAGACTAGATGACGCAAATTCACAAGACATTTAACAAGTTTGGCGAGTATCTAACTAAATATGCTAAGGAATACTTAAATGTAGTGGGGAAGGAAAAGATAAAATTTTCCTTTTCTATCTTTCTATGGTCAACTGAACTGTTTTTTTTTTTTTCCTGTATACAAGCATATCGATCTTGAATTTACATTATATACCGTAATAACACTAGATCCCTTTATAAATAAAGTGAGTGAGTTATTCGGTTCCTGGTCAACTGCATCACTTTTTAGGAACAGAGTCAAAACAACTCGCTGGCTTTATTATCGAAACGAATAGCACGCTGGAGTTAGTAATAAATTCAAATAGAAATGTTTTTGAAAATTTCTCTACATTTTATGCCTATGTATAGGGGTGCAGCCTAAAAGAATGCATTATAACTTTTTCGTACATTATAACAAATTGCCTTTCATACTTACTTGCAGTAAATCCTCTAAACTTTCTATATATTCGATAGCATTGCGCAATATCTCTACTTTTGGGAGACGTTGATTAGGATTCGACGATGTGCGACGTTTTAGTAGTTCAAACGCCTCGTTAACCTGCAAATATTTTCATTTTAAATTTAATTTTTTTTTTTTTTTTATATTAAAATTTTTAAAAACAATATAAATTATTTTTAGCTTTCTTATGGCAATAGAAACTAAATAAAATTAATTGAATTTTAAATAAATTTTAACGTTTTATGCATATAAGCCATAAATCTTTGATGCCACCGGGAAATATATATATATTTTTTCCTTCTATCTGACGTTCATTTTTGTGGCTCATAATTTAAATTAAAACATGCGTTAAATTAAAAACAATAAAACTTAATATCATTATAAAAGAATATTTGTCTACATACATATATGTACAATATATAATTTCTCCCCCATATATATATATATATATATATATATATATATACATGTCTATGTTCGTTTGAAAGTTTTTCTTTTCTTTCTCAATATGTATTGAGCAGACAGACGTCTTTACCTTGGTTTAAAAACAAAAAGTATCTTCTATGTAGCACATCTTAAACTTTTAGTTATATTTTATTTATTATTTCCCACAATGAGAACATGTTCGTTCGCCTTTATTATATTACATGATTGTTTATTTATATGCCATCGCGTTTACAGGATTGCCTTTCGTTACATATTAGTTGTTCTCTCCCCTTTCATCAGCTTAAAATATATTAGTGGTATTTAGCGGTGGTACGTGTACACATATCGATGTAAACTTGAATGATCAAATGTCTCTATTTTCAACTTACATTTAATGCAATGTACGATGTGTGCTCCATTAAGACATTAAAAATTTGAATAATGGCTTAGCAAGTTGTCTTGCTACTTACTCTCAACCGCAGCACACATACATATAACATTATATTATGATAAGATTATATTACTCTCTAGTATTACTCTGGCATCTTCATTATTACATTTTAAAGCATATCTACCGTCGGAATCTTAAACTTGGAACTGCTTATGGAACTGCTCTATGTTACATGATTTTACTTTTCCCTCCCATTTTAGTTCTGCTATGAAAATTGTTCAAAAATTTTGAGTTTTCTTTAAGATGGTTACCTATTATACAAGGGTGGAAAGGGTCACGTTATCATTTTCATGTATGATCAGAAGAGTTTGCAATAAACTTTAATATTTTACACGGTATACATACCCGAAATGTTTTCTGAACTTTACCGTTTGATTTCACAAAAAAAAAAAAAAAAAAAATTTAACTTCAACTCTTGGACAATATCGGTAACAAATAATTTTCAGAGCCGTGGGGAGAAAAATGTTAATTGTAAAAATAAATTCTCTATCCTAAACCGGGTTACTTTGTAAAGCCTAATTGATGCATTCATATTTTTTTACGAAAACTCGAGTATAGACAACTGCTTCTTGCCTCTTCTAGGATATAGGTTTCAGTTATATACAATTTCCTTTCAGTGTACATTAATGTATCAAGAGATGAATGTCAATTATGGCACTATTTCGAATAGGATTAAACTGGAAAGAAATGCAACTGATGTTGTACTACGGAAATTATTAGGTTGCTATGAAACAGTTAAAAAGTGATTTGCGGATCTCGTGCAAAAAACGATCACAATTCGCTTAGGTTAGCAAAATTAACTGTTCTGTTAACTGTAAGTGATCATCATCTTGCCATGGGAATCTTTCTCGATTACGCATTACTACTCAGATCACTTTCTCCTCCTAATTATAATTTGGCCAGATCGTTACTATCGATCGGCAGGAAGATGTGTCAAAAAAGGGGTCAATGACTATTTCGCTTTGAAACAAAGATGTTTCTACCGCGACGATAACGATGATGATGATGGTTATTAATTTCTGTGATAAGTGTATTTTAAACGAATTCGAACTTTATAGAAAAAAATGTTTTTGCCTTATGATAAAAAGAAATCCTGCGATAGTAAAAACACTAAAGTGCGACACAGTCAGTCAACAAATAAATATCGCTTAATATAATTATTCTAGTACCAACTTTTCAAAACACAGTGTTGTCTGAGAAGTGGTCGAAGGTCTGTTACGAACTATAATCGAAAACGTTTCTCCTTTGGCTGAAACATGTTAGGTTCACCAAATTTTATCAATTGTCTAAAAAAAATTGTAATGTGTTGTTTGAACAAAAGAAAACAAGAAGGACAGACGGACAGACAAATAGCCAAGCTAAAGGTTGGTTCTAATTCGAATCCTCTACCACAAGTCGTGTAGTGTAAACAAAGATAAAAAAAAAAAAGCGCGACTATCAACTCGACCTACTCAGGTTCAATTCTCGATCCGATAGGCCCTACTTTAATTATGGTTGATATGACCCAGATGTAGAGTTATAGTGAATGCTCGATCGGTGAAGGCATGACACTTACCGATCACATCCCAAATTGCGATCACATTCTATTCCTCTTCCTGCTCTTCTTCCACCCTCACCTTTGCCATCACTACGTTTATATACCTTTATGGGACATTTCTTACGGTTTTTTTGTTTTTGTTTTTTGCACTTTGGTAGCACTTTAAAGGTAACTGAGCAAACGAAAAGCTCTGCTTATATACTCCACCTATTCATTTATGTGTGTTTGACAATTATGAACAAACCAATTGTCAAATTTATCGACTTTTGGAAATTAACATTTCCATCATATAAAAGCAAAACTTCACAGCCGGACATAAACAACACCTGAGAGCGTCGCCGACGGCTATTTGCAAGCGTTACAAATAATTGCGAAGTCCAATATATTTCGACGTCACCTCAGGTATGGATATAAAAGCTATTACCTATGACAGTATAAAGGCTATAAGCTATGACCGTTGCTATCCCAGGTCAATTTCTGTTCTTCTTTTTAAATATTCCAAATTAGAAAACTATACTTGATCGACGTCTTATATTATGTAAGATAGTATAGTTTTTTATTGATATCAAAGGTAAGAACTTGAAGCGGAGTCCAAGTGTTTTTAACCTAAAAGAATTGGAAATCCTTTGGGATGACAAAGCTAAAATTTTAAAAATTGGCTTTTTTGTGAAGTAAGGTTTGGGTTTAAAAGATCAAAAAAAATTCGATCCAAACGTGTGTATGTGCGTGTGTGGGCAATTTAAACCTAGAGAAACTTTCAAGCCTAATTAGTCATTAGCTAGCAAAGCTACGTCAGTTGAATTTTATTTTTTCCTGGGCAATATTCAGAAATTTGAATTGTAGACTCCATATGGGCAGATATGCTGAAAATTGCCAGCACATGCGCACAAAATTTAACGAGTACGTTAATGCAGATGTATTCGGACACGGTCTTGTTGTTAGCTTGAGCGGGTTAGTATTGACATTTTTAAATGAAACTAAAAAAAATTAAGTCTCTCTCTCTCTCCTGTGCTAGACGAAATGTTAGATGACTTAAACGCTGTCTACAGAGACTCTGCAACATCGTTCACCGCAAGCGCACTGCCGCAAAACTTTCCTCAATGATGTTGGAAGATAATTGATTAAACTTAGGGAGATCGTGGAGCTTATGGACACGTTTAGAAAATGTGTCTGTCAAATATTAAATCACAAGTCAACCTTGAAACCAATGACTGGGTCTTGGTTGCTACGCTTATTCTCAGTGGAATAAAAACTCCGTGTCAAAAAATCGATAGTTATAATGACATGATTCCGTGAATTGATGTGGGGAGTGTTGCAATACTCAACGAATACAAGATATGACCAATTTTTAGGAAAATTCAAAAGGATGCCCTAGAGAAAAACATTTGGATTAAATGATGATCTAAATGTGGGAATTGAAGAGTATATTTCAGATCTTCATAAATATATATAAACATATAATATAAGAAGGCATGGAAATGTTAGACAAGTATTGGACTGAGAGAGAGACTATGTCGTTATAAAAACGCATTTGAAAAAAAAATGTCTCCTGTCTTTCCCAAATTGCAAAAATTCGATCATGATGAAATTTTGATTTCCGCACTTGGCAATGTCTGTCTGTCTGTCTGTCTGTCTGTCTGTCGAGAATAATGTTTTAATTAAGCACTATCAGCTACAAGACGGAGATTATTCTTTATGACTGAGATAACCGTCTCATAACTTCACCTTCGATCGGGGAGCAGATTAAAATTACATTTTATATATATATACATTGTTTTCTTATTTGTCCCAATAATAAATCACTAAAGAAAAAACGAACAGAGTTATAGCAAAGAGGAGTACTCGATACATTGTACTGATCACGCTTTCCCTCACAGTTGCCTCATAGTCTTCAGTACTCGCTAGTGAGAAGAAAAGAATCTATATTCCCACGAACATAATGCGAATTTTGATAAATTTTGAAAATATTTTCTTCAAGAGCCAAATAAATATTTTATAAAAAAAATTGTCCGACATGCTCTCAATGAAAAGGAAACATCATCGTTCATTTGGTTGGAAGGCAAAAAGTCGCCTTAAAAGCGAATGGCTAGTGGCTAGTGGCTAGTGGCTATAAGATTTTTTTATTTGCTTTATTTATCATTAGATAAATTAGTGCACGCCCACTTACTTTTCTTAAACGTCGCCTTTCACGCATTGTTGCCGCTTTTCGGCGATCAACAGCAACGCTTTTCTTTTTACACGCTTTGCAGGCCCACGTTAAACATGGTCGCGATGACTGAGCATTGGTGCACACTAACGGTGCCAATACATGCTCCTCGGAACTTAAACTATTCTCGTCGTAGTCCGTAAAACAAGAGGAAGGTGACGTTAAATTCACTTTATCAGCACCGCTTGCGTCATTATAATTTCCATAATTGTACGATAGAGACGAAGATGGACTTGTTTCTGCGGTAACCATCGAAAAGCGATGAAAAAATTGTTGCAATTGTTGTTGATGATGATGATTTAAAACTTGTTGTTGTCGTTGTTGCTCAAAGTGAGCTTGATGATGTTGATGGTGTTGCGGTTGTTGTTGTTGTTGCTGTTGTTGTTGCTGTTGTTGGTGTTGCTGTTGCTGTTGTTGATGATGCTGCTGTTGCCGATGCAAATTGTTACTGTGATGCAACATATTTTCCAGGTATCTTGTATATATATATATATGTAAGTTTTTTTTTTTTTTTTATGAAGTTTCTATTCAAGTAACAAGACGGCTTGTATTTATTGTGATAAGAGAAGAATGCTTTAAGGATAAATTAATTTTCCTTTCTTTTTTTTTATAATTTTGAACAAATTTTCAAAAAAAAAAATAAAATTTAGTTATTTAATGTTTTTTTTTTCTTATTATTATTATTATTATTATATTTTTTTTTTTTAAGATAACTAATTTCAGTTATTGCCAGCAACTAAGCTAATAATTCTCCATTCGGTATTTAAATCATTTGAAAAATGATGATTTTGCGAGAAACTTATTAACGGAATTGAGATTTTAGGGAAGCACTTGCTTTATTGAATTCTCATCAATATCTGTTTCGTTAAGTTCGGAACTCACTTTTTATGATAATTCAAAATACGCATAACATTTTCTAAATATTTTTTCGTTTTCTTTTTTTTGTTTTTAAATTAAAATTTTTCTTTTCCTTAATTTTTTCTTTTTAGCGTTATTTTGAAATCTTTATAATTAATCACTTTTTGTTTTAATTAATTTTTCTCTTGTTTTGTTTAAATTTGACTTTGTGTCTTTTTTCTTTTTTTTCTTTTTTTTTTGTTTGTTTTTTCCCCCCGAAATTTTTTTTTCGTTCCGTATATATTGTTCTGGCAACTGTGACACTCGCGATACATTTGGTGACAATTTTCTTTAAAAATTTTCATAACTCAAATATGTTTGTCTCCTCTCACGACAATTCGTTTTCTTCATAATATAATACAAAATACAAAACTTTTTGTTTTGAGTACATTCAATATTAGGCTAATAATTATGCAGAGTCTTCTCAACTTTACGAGGGATTCTTCTCGTGAGTCCATTCTATTTTTAAAATCATTTCTGATTTGTTGTTTTTCATTTTCTTTCTTAGTATTTTATAATGCAATTGTGAGTGTTTTCTTAATGCGCACAGACACGCCCCGCATTAAGTGCTTTGACTTAACACATGAAACAATTGCAAATAAAATGAACGGATCATTCTAAACGATAGCATCTTTTTTAAATTGCTTTAAAAACATTTATTGCCATATTTTAGATGTGGATTAAAATTGATTTGTTTTAATTATCATTTTCTTTGTCCTACATCGAAAATGGATTTTTGAATTTTACTTTGAGACAAATTTTTATTTTAAATTATTATTATAAGTACATACAACATAACATTATGTAGAACATAATGTGTTCGTGAGGGAATCCAATTTACTTTGTTGTTAGATTTAAATCGATTCAGATCGTTCTTCCTAGTTGCTGGCGATCGACTTAAAATCCATTGCATAATGCGTTGCCAAGTTTTTCGACTTTATGACTGATCTACTTTTCGGTTTTTTTGAGTAAAGGTACAATGATCATAAGTATTAAATTTTCCAATAAACTTATTTGTAAGCAGCTTGTCTTTAAGCCTTGAGGCTTATCGTTTTGTCTTCAGTCTCACTTACAGATAGAAAAATCAATTTTGTATTTTCTTTTTGAAAAGCGGAACTGTTCTCAGGTTACTCATTACCGTAGGCGTGTCCTTCGACCGTTTTAGCCCATTTCCAACACCTGCCTACGTACAAACGTTTCTGCCAAGTTTGAACTCGATGGCTTCTTTTTTATGAGCAGGAAAATGTTTAAAACAGACGTTACACAAACGGACAGCCGGACATTTTACTGTCATGCTTATTGTCGTGTGTACTTTTCTTTCATTGAAAGATTGAGATACAAAATAAGCCCAGCAGTTCGGAGCAACGCATCCAACCGAAGTCCTTTTAAAAATTTTTGAGAGCACTCGTTCAAACATAGCCAATTTCAACGCCAATAAACCACATTTCGACTCCTAATCGCACTGGGGAACTAAATTTGTCCTCACTTCCCATAAGTGATGGAAACGGAAAAGAATTGTCTAGGGGTGGGAAGAGAAGATTTTATTCGCTGAGCAGAACATTAACTGAAAATGCGAAGAGAAGTAGTTAGGGACGGAAGATATTTAAAGCTGTCCAAGAAATATGTCACACAGCACATAGAGCACTGTTCAAGTTCACAGAAGGGAGCTTCTAATTGACGACTTGCTGCTACGAAGGTCCTCATAAACGGTTAAAGTGTATTCAACATAGCATCAGTCCTCACCCTGACTGCTCACTTGGCAACCGTACCGCCCGTCTTTGTCAAAATCTAACTGCAGACCTGTTTCCGCCATTGAAACACATCCATAGGCTACGCTTTCATTTCTCCCTCCTCGGGTCCTTGGCCGGTCATTGAAAAAACAAAAAAGTAAAAAATCTTTTATTGTTAAAAAAAAAAAAGTTAATGAACTTCATGCCGCTGTTAATATACAATACGGTACAAATAATTTTTTCTTTTTTTCTTTTAAATCAAAGATTTATTAGTCTTATAAAACTTATTCATTTTCTTACACAAAAAGGATGGTCTCTAAATCTTCTGAAATTGATAAATAAATTTTGAAATGCCCGCCGTTAACCTTTTTATCATAGCCCATCTATTTTAAATGACAATGAAAAATATCCCGCTTTTATATTCGAAATTTTTGTTTCTTAAATAAACGGTATTTTAGAAAATCCATAAATTTCAAATTTATGATCTCATACTAACAGTCATGAACAGGAATTAATGGCAATACATATATTTTCGTATAAAAATATATATGTTTGCCAGAGTGTTAAAGAGATCTCGCATTTACGCAAATATATCAAATGAAATATTACCATAGTCCTCCACTTGGAATCTGTGTACTATAATCAAAACATACAATTAAAATGCTAATTTCATTAAGGTGCTACAGGATGCTAAAAGGTAGTTATATCACTCGCTTGATTTTAATGCTTGAAGGGTTGGCTTTACTTTATGTATTTACAAAATGGTCAGCAATTCAAATTTAATTTGTTATTATTATTTTTTTTCTTTGGCAAGCAAAAAAAAAAACGGTCTATCTATGTTTGCTGAGTCACCGGCTTAAACACTATGAACATCGTATCGATATGCTAATCGCTGAATAACTTCGTTAGTCTAGTTCCGGAAAAACTTGGCTGTGTGCTTCTGGTGCTAAAATTGTGAATTGTGAAATCCTTAAGGCAGCAAATAAGCGTACGTAAGCAATGCGCCACGTTCTTCGCTACTTCGAAGAATGGACTTGCATTAAAATTACGCTTGCACTTCTACTTAAGCGTTGTTGTTTTGATTTCCAAGCTCGAAAAAACAAAATCGTAAACAAAATCGATAAATGACTGATATACGCATTTGCCACATCGCAGCTGTTATATTATCCTTAGCTAGTAAATAGAAAGGACGACGCACAAGTTTTACACATCTCCATATCTTTTTATTCTTCACTTCGGCATACTAAAGTATAAGACGCAAATACTTCCATATGTATTCACCGACCTAAACAGCTCTATTAATTCGCCAAGTATACAAAAAATTAATGACAGTTTTGATCGACAGACAGACAGAGAGACGGATATGACTAACTTGTCTAGATTTTGAATCAAAAATGTACGCATGCGTTTGTCTGTTGGTTACAAGCGCAAGTGCTTAAACTTTGTCAATTCGCCAAATTTGTTAATCATAATTGCGGACGGAAGGAATGTTTACCATCGACTTTACACAAAAAGACAGAAGTGTACATCGGTAGGTAGATATGTTCAAGCGGATTCCGAATGTCACACTGATTAGGAATATACTTTATTTAGTCTTTGAACACTCGTCTTGAGTGTTGCAAACCGACTTTAAACAAATTAACATATCCTCATCTTTCGATGGTGGGGCAGTAATTAATTTCAATCGAAAAGAATAATTACTTTCTACATTCTGCAATATATTTGAGATAGACTGAACGTCCATAGCACCAATTCAGATACAGAAATTTTTTTTCAATATTTCTTTATTGAACAATTTACAGCTGAGCTACATTTACTTTAATAACCAAACAAGAGTAAGTACATTAGTGTAAAAGATTAAGTGGGTAGAGTATTAGTTGATCTTAATCGCAACTAAATAATTTTCAGAATAATTTCTGCAATATTTTCGTTAATTTCGAGTACCGTAAACAAAAACTCCAAATATTAATAATTGAAGTTATTAGAAAATGCATAAGTATTGATGTTCAATTTTGCTAACTCATCCATGGAGGAAACATGGAAGGAGGAGACTGGAAACTTAATAGTGAAGAGTCAAATGTTTCTAAAAATTTCAACGAGCTTTACAATATATTAAAAACTTCGATCGGCCTTAACTTTACCTAACACATTCCACAACCGACCTTGACCACTGCACTCTCTTTCGGTAATTATAATATATGTACTATGAGGACCCAAAGTCGTCTCTCGTTTTGGCCTCACGGATTCTCCGTCTCTGGTGAGGGGGAGGGAGTGCTAGATTAAGATAGGATAGGAATAGAATAAGAATAGATTAAGGTAGGATTGGAATAGAATAAGAATAGAATAAGACAGGATAGGAACAGCATAAGAATAGAATAGTGTAGAATAGACTAGTTTTAGTTTAAGTTAAGTTACTCGATAGTAGACTCTCGAGTAGCGAAGCCGGGTACAGACAGACAGTTTTAATTACGTTAATAATAAAACAAAGTGAATAAGTAATGATGGAAAGAAATAAAAGAGTCTCTGCGAATATAAATTTCTTACGTGTTATCCTTACCTGGGCTGCTGAGGTGTCCGAGCCATAGGAAAGGCACGAAACCTCCTCGCAACACACAACTCTACTCTAGCTAGCCCCATTACTAACTTGATCTTCCAGTTCTCTGCGAAGTCCAGTCCAGAGAAATCAATTCCAAGACTACAGTCTTAAACCATCAACATCTAAGGCTAACATCTTTCTTAAAAACTCTATCGTACCTGAGATTTGAACCTGCGATCATTGAGTTGTTAGTACTGTTGCATGTGTTTTCTACAATTATTTACACATAAATCAAAGACACAAACCTAAGAAACAAGAAAAAAAACATAAACTTTCTTAATGATGATGGGTTATCTTCTCATTTCGGTGAAAAGTGGTGAATGGTTAAGTGAAATCTCATTCTAAGTATATGAGAATTGTTTACATTGATGCATTCAGTCAGTGAATGTGTTTCGTTTTGCTTTGCTACAACTACAACATTAAATGTGACGCCTAAATGTTACGCGAAATTTAAATTCTTATATAAATTTCAACTTGGAATATACAATGCGAGTACATACATAGCGCACGACCCAAGTGAATGAATAAAAGGCAACATTTTCATTTCTCTTTTGCTTGCTTAAGAAACAACTTAATTTAAATTTGTTAAAAAAAAAAAAAAAAAAAAAAAAAAAAAAAAAAATCCTTACATTGATGCACATTTATTTTGATGATAATTTTATTTTACTTATAATGTCACATGATATTTAAGGTTTTCTTCTTCTGTTTCCCACTTCAGTTAGTTAATTATTTATTGCGTTTAGTTAATCCGATGTAGCACTTATAGGACCTTGGGGAATATGCAATACAGCTGCTATTAGTGGCTTCCTGATTCCTAGCTTAACTAATTTGTTTTGCGTAATAATAAGCATCGAGTTTCAAATGTACAAACATACATTTAATATATTAATTTGTTTGTCACTCTGTTCGTCACATACCGAATAAGGGATGAGTCTTTTTTTTCTCTTTTTTTTTTCTCTAATTCCGGTTTCTGACTTCAGATACATAAACAAGGATTTATATTACATTTTCGTGTGTTTAAGCTAATATTTTTTAAATGAGAAATTTCACACGATCTAAATGAAAACTCGGTAACGCATTTATTTCCTAAGAAAATTTACTAAACTTTTTGCATTTACATCAAACTTCTTAACGAGTATTCGTCAAATATCGCTTAGAAATAATTTTCGTTTCTTTTCTACCTCAAATAGTGGAAGATAAGAAGCGTGACTACTATCAAGTCGATTGCGGCAGAGCAATATATAACTGAATTAACATAGGCAAGCGACTGTGGCTATAGTAAACGGTATACATACACGGCCACACTCTGTATTTCTGGTCCCACTTATTTTTGACAATCACTGAGAAAGTCTAAAGTAATGGCGAAAAAGTCATAAACTGTTGTCTACTAACACAGATGCACTTTTAAGTGTTAAGAAACCTAAAAAAAAAGATAATTGCGTTACGGTAGATTTGCGCCGCGGGCTAATAATGCCTTCTGGGTGTTGAAAATGTTCTGATAAATTGCATATGGCCCTCATCCTTCGGTGATGGGTATAAACAATAAGACAAGACAATAAATATATTTAGCGTGTAAAAGTTAAATCATCCTTTACTGACCGTTGATCGTTCCATTTCGAAAGAGTTGCCGCGCTCTCCATGAAATGAATAAAAATTCTTAAAAAGCGAGCACATTCCCCTCTCCACATTGACTTCCTTACTTGACTTTCTTCACCAAAAACCACGCCATGATTCTTCCAAAAGCTTGTCTCTCCAGTGGCCTACAAACTGAACAATAAAACGGCATTTTTCGACGATATTTTCTCAATGACTCCAATCATTGAATTTCAAAAAGACTCAATTTATACATTATCGAGCCTTAAGAGATCGTTCTATTAAGGAGAACGTGATATAGGCCCGGTTTTTATTGCGTGCATCTGTCAAATATTTTAATAGAATTATTTTAACTTTGTGGTTCGTGTGAATCATAGCAGTTTGTGCTTTTCGATCAAAATCGAAAATTATTATTCAACAACGAATTAGTTTTTCTTATAACTTGGTACACGTATACCTCGCAGGGATTAGCTTTTATTTTTATAGAATTTTAAATAACTTTTACTTAATCGCGGGATGTTGTTGTCAAGTTTAAGTAAATCATGCCTTAGCCAAAGGAATTGTAAATTTCTTCAGAAATTTATGCCTATGACTCAGCAGCTTGGACTGACACGTCACGAGCATAAGATGCCAAAACATTTGGAAAATATGCTTGAAGAGAACGAGAAACCGAACTTTGCTCATATGGTTCAGTATTACTATCATGCGGCTGCATGTTTAATGGAACCGAATTTAGTGAAGGAGTTGGAGAAAAAGTATCCGAGGGCAGATAATAAATGGCGTCAGGGTCGCGTTGCCGCCATACTCAAGTTTATCGGTGTAGTGTCGTGTTGCATAGAAGTTACATTTCCTTTATATAAAACTGATGGGACTTATGAACTAATAACCGGTTATCGAGCACATCATTGCAGGCATAGATCGCCCGTTAAAGGAGGTAAGTAGCGATCGTACTTTGAAAAAACTCTCTGACCTATTTGATGTCATATTCTTTTCGCAAGGTATCCGTTACGCTATGGATGTTGACCAGGATGAGGTTAAGGGTTTAGCATATTTAATGACTTTTAAGTGCGCATGCGTAAATGTACCGTTCGGTGGAGCGAAAGGCGGTGTACGCATCGATGTAAAAAAGTATCAAGATAAAGACTTGCAAATGATAACGAGACGTTACACGATGGAATTGTTAAAGAAAAATATGCTTGGTCCCGGAATTGATGTGCCAGCACCTGATGTGAATACTGGTCAAAGAGAAATGTCTTGGCTGGTCGATCAATATTTGAAAACTTATGGTATTTTAATAAATATTTTCGGAAAAATAAAGCGGAATAAATTTTCGCGTCCACTTTTTGGTAGGACACAACGATATCAATGCTTTGGCTATAACTACTGGTAAACCAGTACACTTTGGCGGTATACATGGACGTACCACGGCAACTGGACGTGGAGTATGGAAAAGTGGTGATGTGTTTGTTCAAGATCAAAATTGGATGGAACTATTGAAAATGAAAGCAGGCTGGAAGGATAAGACTGTAATATGCCAGGGTTTTGGAAATGTTGGCTCCTGGGCTTCAAAATTTGCAGTCGAAGCTGGCGCAAAGTTAATTGGTGTACAAGAAATCGATTGCTCGTTGGTCAATGAGCAAGGAATAAATCCGGACGTAAGAAGAAAACTATATAACGACTTTTCTCCCAAAACGTATTTTATATAGCATTATTTTGGACGTTATTTCGATCGACTATATTTACATATCCATATTAATTTGATTTGATATTCAATATTGGGAAAGCATAAGTTTTAGTACTTGTTCTAAAATGATCGAATGTTTTTTTTTATTTTTTCATTTATAATGATTTCAGGAATTAATGCTATACATGGAGGAGAAAAAGACGATTAAAGGTTTTCCGAATGCTACCGAAAAAGAGGGCAGCTTATTAGGAGAGAAGTGTGATATCTTAATGCCTTGTGCAACCCAGATGGTACTTACTAAGGAGAATGCAGAAAAAGTTCAAGCAAAAATTTTATTAGAAGGAGCCAATGGACCCGTTACACCGGCTGCCGACCAGATTTTACGAAAAAAAAACGTACTCATGATACCGGATATGTATTGTAATGCCGGTGGTGTGACTGTTTCATATTTTGAATTTCTAAAAAATCTCAACCATGTCTCTTACGGCAAAATGACCGCTAAACGAGAATCGAGCATGATCCATGAGATACTCGAGTCCATTAGTCAATCGTTAAAACAAACAGTTGAACCGACAAAAAATCTAGAAAGTTTACGCGATTGCCATTCGGAAGCCGCTATTGTTGATTACGGTCTACAGACTGTTATGGAAGGGGCCGGTCAAGGTATTAAAGAGACATCCAATGAATATTCGCTATGCAACGATTTGCGAACAGCTGCAAATGTTTTTTCAATTAATAAAATTTTTACCTATCTCGAGAGTTCGAGTATTTCCCAATAATAATTGCTTGAAATCTGACTTAGCATAATAAATAAAAGTTCTTCAAGAAACCTGTTTACTTCAATTAGTATTAATGTCAGTATCTAACCTGATCATTATGCAAAGTTGATGAAAACAAGAGAGAAAAGTAATGTTTTCAACGATTCGCACAGAGTGCAGCCTGAAATTATGGAATTATGGCCCACTGCTACCGGGAGACATGCAGTTGTCCGCGTCGGTGTACTTGCTCCATTAGCATCTTTCATGGTCGTCAAATCAAACATGCCATGTTTACAAAATGGCCCTAAGTGAACTTACACATCCAAATACTTTTATGATTTGATATTCGAAAGATCACTATATCGATTGTAGTGATTTTTAATTAATTTTTAATTATAGTTTTAAAATTTTGGTTAATTGTGGGATAAGATGCGTTGCACATTGCATGGGACCAATGGTTCGCAATGCGGGCTGGTAAGCGGAATGCCAAAGTCGCTTATTTTTAAGAATTGGTTTGTGATAAAAATCCCCTATAATGACATTGGAAATGTTGGGCCCTTTCCTAACGAAGCCACTGCCTTTTTAAGTAAGATGAGCTAACGTTAAGACCTAAAGAAAGGGCTGTAAATATACTTGAGAGAGCTACCTAAACTGTTTAAATGTTTATTTTTACACGTAATTAGGCGCACTGTTAAGTCGACACATCTTTAGGGTTCAGGCATTCGTCTTCACATCACATGTAATCCCCATAAAATTGAAATATATGTGTGTATATAACAATAATATATAAGACTGCATCCATAAATTGAGGCGTCCTACATGATCATGTTGTCGGTATGAAATGTCAAAGTCACTGATTCTCAATTAAGCGGAAGGAAAAAAGGAAGAGGATGGAAGAAAAGAAACAATAGCTAGAAAATTACTCTACATAATCTTTTCTAAAATGAAATTTTTACCACGCCTACCCCAATAGTATAGTGTATCACAATTTCATTTTTTCTCAATGCATTTATAAATCGCAGAAACGAAATTCAAAAACCCTAACAAACTATATATATTTTCTTTTCCAATTTCAAATTTGGAATGCAACTTAACATTGTCGTCGTCCATCATCTGTCCTCTGTACGTCTGCGCAACTTTATAGTATTTCTGGTAAGCAAATTTAAGCGAAAATGAAGATATCGCCTAAAAATTTGCAAAAGAATTCGGACGTGTCTTAAACTTTTTCAAGGACAAGACGCTCCCACGTCTATGCGATAAATAAAAAAAATAAAAAATCAGTCATGCCCACTCCATATATATACAGCATGAAATTTAGTTCCTTTACTTTTCTTTTTCTTTTTAAGATAACGGTGATGGGTATAGGGGATTCGATTTCTTACACGTTATTATTAGTCAAAGAAATAAATTCAAAGACTGAAGTCTTAGAGCACAAGCATCTAAGGCTATCGACTTTCTTTATGAAATAAATTTATTTTATTCATTATACATATTATTATTTTTAGTTATCATAACTATGAGACTGTGACGTCTTATTTATGAACATATTTTTATGTATGGGCGAGGAATGCTTTAATTGTTGTTCACTAAATTTATATCAGGCAATAATTTTAATTTATAGAATATTTTATAAAAACAAATCATTTTAACAATATGCCATATTTTAGACTATGAAAGACTACAAATTACCCAAGTTCTAGAAGACATTATAGATGCTTTCGTCCACACGCAAATGCAACAAACTAATTTCGTATTCTTGATCTTCCGGGAATCAAGTAAAACTCATGTCCGAAATTTGGCTTTAGTTAAATGAGGGCGGTGCTCTGCTTACACGAAATCACATTTCTACAAATCTAAATATTTTAAAATATTTTCGCCCGTAATTGAAAATTATTCGCTTAAGTAGCGAAATCGGTATGAACCGTGACTATCAGGTCAGTGTTCGCGAGGGTTGAAAGTACGGTTCATCCACATCCAGCGAACGCTCAGTCGCATTCACTATGTGGCAACCACCTCGAACCTAGAATAGAAGAAATTCTCTGAGTAATATCTATTATCCTTCCACTTAAGTATTCAGCTTATTTAAAAATGTTAGTCATTCAAGTTCTCGTAGGCGGGCTTAGCCCATTCTATCGCATTGTTCACAAGTTTGGCGGAAACAGTTCGAATGGAAATGGCAATATATTATATTGCCTCCGATAAAGTATAAGTAAAATGTACTACGTAGTATAAAAAACCGAACGATAAGCAGTAGCAATCGTCTAACTAAACATACGAGTTATACGAGACAGCAATGCAATTAGAAAATACATAAATCTTTGAAATCTAAATTTTAAACAATAAATAAAAATATGTTTTTTTAATTTTTCTTTTTTTTTCTTTTTTCAGTCCACAATGAACGAACGTACAACAAAGCCAAAGGTAAGATTTTTAAAATAAAAAAAAAATAAAAACGAAGAAACCGTTCTTTGCCTTCAGGCGAATTTTATCTTTAACACTTTTTGATTTACTACCGGTGAATGAAGAAACAAACAAAGTTCATATTCATCTCACTCGTCGTTTGTACTGTTGTTCTAGGATATATTTACAAAAAATTTCCGATGAATACTTAATACAAATGATAGATTATTGCGGAAAATTTATTGAAATTGTTGGATTTCTTCGGCTCTGAGAATATTGATCATTCTTAGTAGATGCGACAAGTTGTTGTTGTTCTTGTTGTTGTTATGTATTTTTGGAACAAAATATATAATATCAATATATTGAAAGGAGAAAAATTGGATATTTTTCATTGTGCGTCTATTTTAATTTATGGCTGATAAGAAAAATATTCAGGAAAGCCGAGATATTCTTAATTTATGTTGTATTGCAGGCGGGTCAATTAACCGACTTGGCCCATTGCATGCAAGAACTTTGTACAGACGGACAGATGGACAGGCGGGGACTGCATAAATCGTGCATGAATATAAAAATAATGATTATATATATTTTTTTTATAGTAAGAATCAGGGCATATAGTTTTTGTCAAAACGTTTTCCACATCCAGAAGCAGGCTTCAGAGACAGAGAAAGAGAGAGAAAAAATTTTTTTTTCATTCGTTTAATAGACACTTTGAATCTTTTAAGAGCTACATTATTCTTTTATCATGTAGATTATGTTGATGTATGCATAGAGAGTAAGGACGCAGTGTACATCTTACGCAATTTAGTTTGGTTTTTCAAAACAAAATTCATTTTTTGTTTTTAATATGACTTATTCTACTTTTCAGTTGCTTTTCCAGATCTGCAGCCGATCTATTATTGTTCTATTTAGCCTATAACTTTTTTTACACGATTTTTTTCAATCGTGTAAAAAGAGAATTAGCTGTATTTGAATATGAAAGTTCATTTTTATGGAACTACGGACTAATGAAAAAAATTAGTAAATAAAAAGCAATTTTTTTTATGATAAGAGAACGTGGTCTTCAATAATAACTGGATAATAAAGGCGCCTCGCGAATATGGCTGTGATTTTGCCATTTTTTAAATATTTCTCAAAGCAATTTTTTCCCTTTTTTTTATTAGATATATATAGGCCTGACAACCTCTTAGAACATGTCCGCATGAAAAGAATTCTTCATCAAAAGTTCGTTAGTATTCTGTCAAACATTTCTCTCCAAGAGAGTTTTGTGAATTATCCTAGAATTTGGTTTTACTCGTCAAAACACTTTCTGGAATGGCACGCCTGACTGCAAGCTTAAGATGCTTCTTCTATAGTAGTAGTGGATGAAAGTTCAGCATTTTGTAATATGTACTCGTGTTTACAAGATGCAGTCATCTTTGAGGAGATTCACATAAACGCATGAATTTTTTGAGACTTACCCTCTATCCCTTCCCTGATTTAGAAAATAGTTTTCAATTTCGTTACTTGTTTATTTATGAGTTATATTTGGAATATTGGAAACAAGCTCAACCAATATCAGAAATTTAACCTACGAATATTATTTTCACATATAAATTCATATATTAAAAATGTCTGCGTAAAAAAAATTAAAAAAGAAAGATAAATAATCAAATTATATAAAGGTATGCAGATGAAAATTCTAAAGAGACGACGACATAGAGAATTTTTGTTCATGAAATTTATTCGTTTTCTAATGCATCCTAATTACAATTACTAGGAAAACAAAAGCTAAATATAAACTTGCCCGAACACTTAAATTGATAGGCATTCAGATATAGTCAGAATCCATCAAATTTAAGGATTAATGATTAATGTTCTATTTTGACTGAACATCGCTCGCATGTGAAGTTTTTTTTTATCTTTCCTCAAAACGCATAAACTAAATTCTTGTTTAGTAATGACAAACGACTGTAACGAAGAAGCATAGGTGTTAAAATAAATATTTTTTGTATGATGAGGATAAGGATGAGGGGTGTATTCATTTTGTCAAAACGTTTGCAACGCCTGCAACAAAGTCTCAGGGAACCGCATAAAGTTTGTATATACTTGATCAGCACAACATTCTGAATCGATTTAAGAATGTCCGTCTATCCGTGCGTCCGTCTGTTTAATGCCTATTGTACACATTATTCTGGGAGCGAAAATGAAGGAAGAAATTTTGACAGAAATATTGGAAGTTCTTGCAAGCCGATTTGTATCGAAGGACAAACCTAGACTAGCACGTAAACTGAGAACATCTCCGCTTTTCAAAAGGAATATAAAATTGATTTTTCTGTCATTACTCATAAACTACAGTAGATATATCTACCAAAATGTTAACATATAATCTATAGGTGCTGCTGCCCATCGAAGTCGACCGAATCTACCTATTGTTGTAAAGTATCAAAATTTGATGTTTTTTCAATATCTTTATAACGCGCAGAAGGAAGCTTTAAAAATATGTTATTGTTTATGAATTCTTGACGAATTTCATATTCGGAATGCACCTAAGTATGTCGGTCTGCTCGTTTGTCCGGCCTGTCAGTCTGCCCGTCTGCGCAAATTTATAGTACATGTGGTAAATATTATCCTATTCGCAA